TGTTGTCTGAAGTCGGAGCTCAGATTACTGCAGCAGGCTTGGGAGGCGTGCATCTCATAGGGAAATGTGATTTATGACACAGACTGAGGGGAGGGAAGGAACAGGGGTGAAGTTCAGCCATAAATCAAACAAAGTTTAGACCTGACTGTGGAAAGATCTTGCCTATGATGCTCCTAATAAATGCCTCCTGTCCTCCGGGGAACCGCCTGGGCGCTGTGACCCAAAGCACAAAACGTGGCGGTGTGTTGAGTTTCCCCCCCCCGAAGGGCCGTTGACCCAGACGCTGCTTCTTCTTCCTCCTCCTCCTCCTTTAGCAGGACAGCACTGAGCGAGAAGAAGCCCACGGTGAAGGCCAGGTCTCCGGAGAAGGGGAAGCCTGAGGAGAAGGACCCCGACAAGTCCCCCACCAAGAAGCAAGAGGGTAACGCCACCCGCTTGCTTGACGCTGGGGAGGGGGCTCTGGGTTGGCCTAGGGGGGTCCGGGGATGGCCGCCTTCCACAATTGCAGTCAAGTTGGCCAGTTGGCAGCAGCTGTGAGGCCCCCGTCCTGAGGGTCTTCCATCCAAAATGAGTAGAAGTCCTCCTTGAGTTGCACGTCTTCGGCATCCGAGGAAGCGCCCTGTAACGGAGAAGGCAAACTCGGCCTTCCGGGTTTTTTTTTATCTCCTTCCCTGCAAATATCCCTGCTGACCGTTCCTTTCTCTTCCCTTCGGCCGACGCTTTCAGCTCCCGAAGAGAAGTATTTGACCCTGGAGGGGTTTCACAGATTCGTCATTGACCGAGCGAAGCAGGACATCCGGAGCGTCTGGCGAGCCATTCTCTCCTGCGGCTACGATCTCCATTTTGAAAGGTAGGGGGGGACGCGCAGCTGTCGGGGTCACTTGCAGCCGCGTAGAGGGTGGTCTTCTTCCTCCGAGCCCTCTCCTCCTCCTCCTTCTCCTCTTTCCCCCAGGTGCTCCTGCCTCGACGCCAGGAACGCCCAGAAAGCCTGCCGCAAGTGGTCCTTGGAGATGGACGTGGCCCTCGTCCGGTACATCAACCGGCTGTGCCGCCACCTGGCCATAACCCCTGCACGGCTGCACCCCCACGAAGTGTACCTGGACTCCGCTGATGCTGCCGATCCCCAGGTCTCCTGCCTCTTGAGTACGTCCAGGACCCCCCCATTCCTCCTCCTCCTCATCCATGGGGGGGATCAGTCTCTTCCCTTCCCCCCCCCCCCCCCCCCCGGGGGGGGATAATTTTCTTCCCCCCCCCCCCCCCCCCCGTTTTTCGGCAACTCCTGNATTAGCCCTGTAAAGTGGGGAAAAAACAAAACAAAAGGAGATTTCTTCCAACAACCAGTTCTCCGAACTGCTTAGAAAGTTAACAACCGGTTCTCTCGAATGGGTGCGAACTGGCTGAATCCCACCACTGGGCAGGTCCCAAGGGCAGAGTTAAAAGAGGAATCAGCCTAGATGCCTTACTTAGCCATAAGAGAAGTCCAACCCTCTCCTAGAAGAGTGACATATTCTAGGAAATATTAAAAAGGCAGAATGTTATGTTTCCCTGGATGAAAAATGGAGAAACACGTTTTAAAGACTAAGCAGCTTCCTGCAACTCCCTGCCCACCCTCCACCTTCAGCTCCAGGGTGATGGGATTAAGACCTGGCCCTCAGGGCATGATAGGATTAGCCCTCTACCCATCTCGCCACATGGCTCCTGGGAAGATTGCATCACCCAGCAAGGCTCAACCAACCCTGGGACTCAGGACAGCCTATAGAGTTGCCCCTGCATGGCAGCATGGGAGTCTCACAACCAATCAGGACACAAGCTCAAATTCAAAAGCCCAGAGAGGGCATAAAACCCAGAGACTCTCAGCATCTCTCCTCTCCCCGCCCCAGGACCTCAAATCATGTGGTTCTGTCCACCATTAAACCTTCTTTCCAAGCAACTTCGATGAACCCAGTGTCTTTTTCCCCACTTGGAACTGAACTCAGAAGGACATTTCGTCCAACATCTGAGCTACAAATATTCTATTGCTACTATTTTATTTCAAATTCTAAGGGGATAAAGAAATATTTCCACTTTCTTTCACCCATTTGTATTGATGGAATATCTGGGATGGCTTCAGTAATGATTCAGTCTTCGTAAAATGTTGTTCTTTTTCATCCAGAAACCAAAAATCCTAGACAGTTGCACATCCCGTAATACTCTTTTTTTTTTACATTTTCTTCTCTACTCCCAATTATTTTTATACAAATGTATCATCTATGCTACACATTTTACATCTTTTACATATCCATTGTATCAATGCATATATATCTTATATAACCATATCCATATCTGTTCTGATCCCCCTCTTCCCACACCAACACACTCCGAGTCAAAGATACTTTCCNCACTGGCACATCACGTCAACCGCTTCACTGAGTTGGCACGGGGCAGACAGATACAGCTGCGTATCTGTATACGCAGTAATAGCTGCCCCTATTACCAACCAAAGTAATTCCTTATGATCCACAAATTGGCCAGTTTATTGCTTGCCTCAATTTAAATTCTGGATGGAGAGTGCTATTTAAATTTTCCATAGTTCACTGGAACTACATTATATTGGGGACAATATGACAAATAAAACTGTAGATCCTTAAATCCAGTTACCATTCAATTGCTAAGTGTCAGGAGTAAGTGATGCTGGGATTAACACCGTAATGTGATGTCCTATGATCTATGAATTTGGCAGTGGCCTACATTTATCTTCCCTAACATAATCTGTAGCATAAAACTTGCCAAAACATGGATCTACTTCTAAAAACTTCAAGATGCAACTGCTCCCTCTAATTTTTTTAAAATTCATTCTGAAACATTGCATAGCCCTTTTAAACCTTCTCCAACCAGGAACTCTGCAGATGTGTTTCAACTATAACTTTAGACTCAAAATAAGTTAATTTCATAATTCAGAATAAGTTAATTTCACAATTAAAAGTGGTCAGAGAACATTGAAATCTGTTTTTTATCCATGGATCCTTGGATGGATCCAGAATCTGAATCTAACAGTTAGATCGCAGTCCCTAAGCTCTTTAGCTCATTGACTCCTTCATGAAATTTCAGATTGTTTATCACAGTCCCCAAATTTTTATTACATGAGAATAATTTAATAAATTTTACTTTAAACAATAGTACTGTGAATAGTATTGACTTCATGAAAGTAGGCAACATTTAAAATAGGAAAAATATAAGATATATTTTTATTACTGAAATTGTTTCATCTTCATCTTCAAAAGGAACATGGTGGCTCAGTGGCTAAGACACCGAGCTTGTCGATCAGAAAGGTCGGCAGTTCAGCGGTTCGAATCCCTAGCGCCACATAACGGAGTGAGCTCCTGTTACTTGTCCCAGCTTCTGCCAACCTAGTAGTTCAAAAGCACGTACAAATACAAGTAAAAGAAAAATAGGAACCATCTTTGGTGGGAACAGCAGTCCGTGCGCCTTTGGCGTTTAGTTATACCGACCACATGACCACAGAGATGTCTTCAGACAGTGCTGGATCTTTGGCTTTGAAACAGAGATGAGCAGCGCCCCCTAGAATCGGGAAGGGCTAGCACATATGCGCAAGGGGAACTTTTACCTCATCTTCCGGGCTAGGGGCTTCAGGACTAGCTCTAAAGAGACCCCCAAAGATTAATAGACTCCAATTATCCATCATTTTAACCATTTCCATAATTTTCCAACCGTCTACTGATCCCCAGACACTTATTGGCCCTTTGTATAGTTACATCAATTCTTGGGGGGGAGGTGTTCAATGTTGCCCACTTTGAAGATCCTGATTTAGAGGGGAACACCTTTCTTCTGGTTGACCTCCCTTTAACAACATTCTTTGGGTTCTTAAATACAGCCTGAAGTTATTTCATGACAACTAGAGTTACTAAAAAAAACCAGGGTAAAATTATTTAACAGAAAGCAGTTTGATAGAGACATTTCCTGTAAATTCTCAGCCAAAGGTCAGATGCTGGATTTTGCACTTGACCTCTTCATTCTGGTTACAGGGTGAAGGAGGAAGTTGAAGTGGTGGACCCCAAAGCACGAGCAAAAGCCAACTGGTTACGGGCATTCAATAAAGTCTGCATTCAACTCCAAGAGGCAGGTATCCCTTCTGAAATCATTGGAAATACGTGGGTCATCTTTTGGGAAACGTGATTTGTTTGATATGCGGATAAGAGTTTTTGATACAGATAGTCCTTGACTTACAACCATTCATTTAGAAAGCATTCAAAGTTGCAATGTCATTTAAAAGGTCACTTACAACTAATCCTCCTTCTGCTAGAGCCGAGGTGGCGCAGTGGGTAGAGTGCAGTACTGCAGGCCACTTCAGCTGACTGCTAGATCAGCAGTTCAGCGGTTCAAATCTCACCGGCTCAGGGTTGACTCAGCCTTCCATCCTTCCGAGGTGGGTAAAATGAGGACCCGGATTGTTGTTGGGGGCAATATGCTGACTCTGTAAACAGCTTAGAGAGGGCTGAAAGCCCTATGAAGCGGTATATAAAAATCTGCTATTGCTATTGCTATTGCTTACAACTGTTGTAGCATCTCCACAATCATGTGCTCAAGACCTGAGTACTTGGCAACCGGCATGTATTAATGACAGTTGCAGCGGCCTGAGTTCATTGCAACCTTCTCAGCCAACAAGCAAAGACAATGAGGAAGCCAGATCACTTAATGACCAATGATTTGTTTAGTAACTACAATCATTTGCTTAACAACTGTGGCACAAAGGTCATAAAATTGGGCACAAATCACTTAGCAACCACCTTGCTTCGCAACAGAAATTCTGGTCCCAATTTTGGTTTTAAGTCCAGGCCTACATATACTACTCTCCATCCTGGTCATTATTTCTAGTGAAAAAGGTTCAATCTAAGCTTAAATCAATGAATTGTAAAAAAAAACTCCATCATTTTACTCTTCCTATTGAATATGCTTCAGATAAAACCTATTTCAATTGTTGTTTTTTCTAAAGTTCTCTATGGCTTTTGCCATTTTGAATTGTCTGGTTCTGTTTTTAAAACAAAACAGGTAAATTAAGAATCCTCCAGTATAATTACTTTTTAAATCTTCAGATTCTTATAGACAACAAATACTGTAGTAGCAGTTTGCTTCAGTTCATTTTTATTTCATGCACACATTATCCAGTGGTGGGTTTCAAAAATTGTTCGAACCTACTCTGTGGGTGTGGCCTCCTTTGTGGGAGTGGCTTGCCGCCCATGTGACTGGATGGGAGTGGCTTGCTCCCATGTGACCGGATATGAAGATGCCGACGACACTTGTCAGAACCACCTTAAATTACCTCACACACAGCACTGGCATGCATAAGAATATGATGTAAACTTGTTTTTTAAAAGGCATCTTTGGTTTGCGTTAAAACAACTTCAACACACGCAATGTTCTGATTGCACCACAAACGCAGTAGTCATCCTTACCTTTCACAGAGGCACTGAGTTTTATAAATATGAGCATGATAGTGTAGAATAATCATATCCAAGGACCAGTGGTGGGTTTCAAAAATTTTTGGAACCTCTTCTGTAGGTGTGGCCTGCTTTCCGGGTCCACTGGTGGAACCTCTTCTAACCGGTTCGGTAGATTTGATGAACCGGTTCTACCGAATAGGTGCGAACTAGTAGGAACCCACCTCTGACATTATCAATATCAAAAGAAACCCAGTGATCAGTAATGCAAAAAGCTACATGGATGCTTGATAGCATGATTCTTTCTGTATGGTGTATATTAATAATGGGCTTCAAATTTAATTAGTTTTATGCTTCAGTCGCGATTGTTTTAGTGTGTTTTCAGAGTCTCAGGGGGATCTTGCATACTTCAGTAAAACATCGCACAAAAAGACTCTTCATGGAAAAATATATTATAATCCATCTATATATCAGTGCAGTTTTATCAATGTCCATACATAATATGGTGAATGACAATAGCAATAGCAATAAGACTTCTATACCCCTTCACAGTGCTTTTACAGCCCTCTCTAAGCGGTTTACAGAGTCAGCCTATTGCCCCCAACAATCTGGGTCCTCATTTTACCCACCTCGGAGTTGGAAGGATGGAAGACTGAGTCAACCTTGAGCCAGTGAGAATTGAACTCCTGAACTGCAGCCAGCAGTCAGCAGAAGTAGTTTGCAGTACTGCATTCTAACCACTGCGCCGCCACTATGTAGAACAGTGTTCTTTATCTCAGGAATTTTAAGATGTATGGATGTTGTCAATTGGCTGGGGAATTCTGGGAGTTGAAGTCCACACATCTTAAAGTTGCGGAGGTTGAGAAGCACTGAGGTAGAGGAAGTGAAGAACTGGAAATCCAATTAATTAATTAATTAATTCCAAATAATTAATTCCAAAATTAATTTTAGAAATTCTTTTAGTTTAACAGAACTGAGAGATATTGGATTAAGAGAATAAAATAAAAGAACAGTAAAAGAAAATCTCTCTTTTCTGAAAGCCAATGATGCATAAAATTAGGTATGCAAATCATATATTTACTAGCATATCTCCTCCAAAATACATGCCATTGTGTTGAATAGGACTCACTCTCAGATATTATGTGTAGATTTGCAGCTTCAATATGGCCTTAGTTATATGTGTATGATTCCCCATAACTGGGAATAAATCTGCATTATGAAGATTATGCTTCAACCTGTACATACTATATTTACTATATTTATTACAAAGAGTGCTACCAGATGGAGCATTTTGATCCAAACTACTACTATTACTACTGCTGCTGCTACTACTACTACTACCCTGTTTCCCTGAAAATAAGACCTCCCGGATAATAAGCCCAATCGGACTTTTGAGAGTATGCGCTAAAATATACCCTCTCCTGAAAATAAGCCCTCCTTAAACTATTGCAACACAGCAGCAGCCATGAGGTGACCACGCTCACTGCCTCCTGCATGTAAAAAATAATAATAAGGCCAAGAACTTATTTCGAGAGTCAAAAGAAAATAAGACCCTGTCTTATTTTCAGAGAAACAGGGTACTACTACTGATAGCAATAACTGTCAATCCTAAAGTTGGTTGAACTATGTCCATTTTCTTTTTTGTAGCTTCTAGGGAGGTTTCTTTTCTCACTGCTTCAGAGCTGACCCAGCCTGGAGCAAAGGGTATTGTAGAGATTCGCTGGGGTGTTGTAGCCTAAATAAAATTCCTGGGAATCAAGGACGTTCGTGCAGGTGTTTCTAGGCTGGAGATTGAGCTCATCTAGCAACTGGCCTTTATGCTTTTTTTAAATAAAATGTTTTTTAAACATTAAAACACATTAAAACATTGGGCACAGTGTAACCATCCTGGCAATGTCTTTGCCATACATACTAGATTGTTCTGTCCCCCCTTCTCCGCTCGTTAACAGACGACAGGCAGACAAACGTAAAAGGAACTCACTTTATCAGTTCTCGGCTCAGACTGGCTGCGAGCCCAAAAATAAATATAAATAAGGTCTCTAACGAGATAACAGAATACCAAACAAAACTCTTACAAAGCAATGCACTTCTCCAAGTGTCTCCTTGAATCAGGGTTACAGAAAGCCAATCACTTCTCCAAGTGTCTCTCAAATAAACCACGACCGATGATCGATGAACGTTGAATGAACGAATGAACGTTGACTCCTGCAACTAGGGTGTGGCACCATCCATCCTTTTATCACCAAAAGATGCCACTAACGAGCCCCAGCTGCATTGTTAATCTTGCATCCCAAAAAGACTCACAGGAGACTTCTGCTGAGTCACAACACTAGATTATGAAGTTAAATATTATAACCACCATGCTTATTTACAATTGGTCTATTCAGTATTTCCAAATATAAAGATATTGTATTTCTAACCATGTTGCTTTGTTCTTGCCTTATACATTTTCACTGTTTTGATTTCATACATAATTCTAATCTCCATTCTATAAACCTTAGTCATTGCTTATTTTGGGTCTTTCCTTTTTTGTTCCAACTATTGATAAAATTTATCCAAGATCTTATAATATTCTGATTCGTCTTTGTTCTTCAATTCCCACATCAATTTATCCATTTTAGCACATCAAAATTTTCCTAATTAATTCCTCTTGTGGAATTTCCCTGTTTTTCCAGTTTTGGGCAAAGACCATTCTTTCTGCCATAATAATGTCTATTATTAAGTAGATTACCCTCTTGTTATGTTTGTCATTTATGATTCCCAAAAGAAATAGTTCTGGTTTGAATTCTATTTTCTCTTCGGTTATCTCTATCAGTCACCTTTGAATATTCCGCCAATATTCTTTTGTTTTTTGGCAGAACCACCACATATGGTAGTACGTGCCTGATTCATAATCACATTTCCAACAATTTGGTGCTAAACATTTTGGCTAGTCTCACGGGTGGGAGATGCCACCTATAAAACATTTTATATAAGTTTTCTTTATGCGGTATTGCCAATGTTATTTTCCTATTCCTTTCCCATAATTCTTGCCATTTTTCCAGATGTATATTATAGCCAAAGTTTATTGCTAGCAACTGGCTTTTATGCTGATTGGAACATGTGACTGAGACTCTGGGGGGAAGTGATGAAATTTTACTTTTAATTGGGGGGGGGAACAGTGCCAACTTAGAGCTTTTCCACCAGGAGTTTGCCAATTTGATATGTCCTAATAAAAATGTTCTTTGAGGAACTAGTTTGCCTCAAAGTTCTTATTGAACAGGATGAATTACTTGGAACCTTAACAACAAGAACACATTGGTTCACACGCAAGAAAAAAAAGACTCGTAGTCCAGAATATTTGGTTGCAACAAGTCACAGCAGAGTCTCAGCTAAATTCATCATTTTCTGTTTTTCAGGCTCGAGGCGAAGGCGAATCAAAATCCCTCTGGTTTAAAGGCGGGTGAGTTCCAGTCCTGGAGAAGGGGGTGAAATGGAAATATTCTTCGGATGACTTGTAGATTGCCATTTTTGGAGGTTCTGTTCTAATTTCAGGTTGTTCCCAACATTTCCCCCATCCAAGTAGGTACTAAAGAACATCGCTAGAAGTTTTCAAGATGAGATTAGACAACCATTTGTCTAGGAAGGTATAAGCAGGGGGTTGGATTAGAAGACCTCCAAGGTCCCTCTCAACTCTATGATTCTTCCATGACTTTACTTCCATGTTGAGAAGCAGCCACTCAATTCCCCTTCCCATATTTATGCACTTCCTCCCTGATTCACTACTGGTGGAGACAAGAAGGATTAATGGATCTTTTGTATTATTAAAGAGGGGAAAAATGTCCTCTCCCACAAAGCCATCAGCAACCACCTCTCATCTGCACATTCAGATGGCAGATAGCTGTAAAAAGTAATCTTGCAGAACATAACAATTGTTTTTTGACAGACGGTTTGTTTTGAATGGCTTCCATTTAATCAGATCGAGTATGCAGATCTCCTTATTTGACAGTATTTCATAGATGACATTACTGTAATGCTCAGTACTTATTACAAGAATTGACATCCAGCAGTTAAAAATCACATTAGATCTAACAGATGGCACTCAATAACAGTTAGTTCTTGGCAGGATTTGACAAATGTGAAAGCATTTAGTACAATTTATGGCCCTACATTTAGCAAGACTTTTGCATTTTCCTTCTGAAGTTAAAATGGCAGGATTTCAATAGCAGAAGACAGATTTAAAAAAACAAAAAAAAAACAAAACTGTAATTGTTCAAAATCCTGAGCAGTAAAATTTAATTTCTTGGTTCTTTCAATTTGGGCACAATGCATTTTAAACATTGAAAAGAAATTAAAAATTAACCTCTAATTAAAAGAATATGATTAAATTAGTATTATGAATATGTATTAAACTATGCAGGGTATAGAAAAAGAATATTTTTCCTTCTCCCATGACTAATGATATTGTCAATTTGTTTGACAATAAATAGACAATAGAATTCCTTTTTCAAATAATCCATCAATAATTTGAGGGTCTACCAATCACAGACAGTAATGGCCAGTGATTGGTAGCCAATAATTTGAGGGTCTACCAGACTTAAAGCTGTTTTTCAAAAGGTCCTTGGACCAAATCATGCACAAATAATTATCCTGTTGAATCATAAACCTCCAGATGAAGAAATGCTTGGAGAAACTCCAGCCAGAGAACCTGGGACCACGCAGGAAGTATCTGATTGTTGTCCATTATTTGAATCAGGACACTAGACTAGACAGCCCTTGGTCTGATTATCCTGCTGTTCTTATGTTCTGACAAATGGGAAGGGAAGGCAATTTCTTTTTATTCCTGCTGATAAAATTCGCTCAATTTGATGTCCCAGATTTGAGCCTTACAGCTCTCAACCCCAAACAAACCCCTCCAAATTCAGGATCATAGGAAGCTTTGTATATGGGATATCAATACAGTCTGTGTGTAGATGTGTACATACACACACACACACACACACACACACACAGATTTTCACAGGTCTAGGTATGCTGGTCTTGTTGTATTGAGGTCTTTTCCCGTGTAAGATTGAGATTGTCTTGGCAACGTTGCCTAAGGATGGCGAGTGAAACCTCGCCGAAACATTGC